GGAGAGGAAGGCCCTCTATGAGGTGGATTGATTCAGTGACTGGGATAATTGGGATGGGAGTGTCAGAGACAGTGCGTTTGGCACAGAACAGAGCAGAGTTTAGGGCTGTTGTACATAGGGTTGCTATGAGTCGCAAGCGACTCAATGGCACATAACAACAACAGGTCTTGAAGGTCTACATCTTGCTGACTAGAGTGGAATGGCGGCAATGCATTCCAGATATGAGGAAGTTGTTGTGTGCGGTCAAGTCAGAAGTGACCCATAGCTCACACTCAGTGGGTTTTCAGAGGCAGTAAGTCATATGGAGAAGACTGCCCATGTTTCTTCCAAAGAGCAATTGGTGGATTTCAACCATATACCTTCTTTTTGACAGTAAAATTCCTTACCATTAAGCCACCAGAGCTCCCTATTTAGGAGAAAAAGAGTATGATAAAATGTAGGAATGTACGAAATAAAACGGTATGCTCTAGAGATAATGAGGAAGTAACATGGCTAAAGTGGACAACTTGTACTGGAAATTTTGCAAAGAATTAGCTTAGACATGAACAAAATACCTTTTGAGATAAGGTAGGAATGAAACTAATGACAAAGTCAGTTTCTTTTCTCTCTCTCAAAATATATATCCAAGTACCAACCATCATAAAACCCAACACCTACACAATAAAAACATTGTTTCCTGCTGAAATTTACATTATTAACAAAAATGTAAATATATTACCTCAGTGGTCTCTTTCAAATAATTGAATATGGTTACTTCCAAAGCAAATTCTTCACCTCTGATAACAGCGTAGGGAAGATTCAAAAAAATGAAAAATGGTTGGAAGGCTCGAAGCTGGAAGGAACACAATGAGTACATATTTCCATTCAAGTCAAAATGCTTCAAATTTTATGCAGTTAAAAGCAAGCCCCGCAGAACCTGTAATGCCTATAACTTCACCTAGAAATGACCACATTCCTATGAACAGAAATTACAATGATGACAAATAATTTGTTGTTGTTATTGTTGTATACCATGGAGTCAGAAATGACTTATAGCTGACCTTCCAGTGGGTTTTCAGAGGCAGTTAATCACACAGAAGAAGACTGCTAAAATTTCTCCTGCGGAGCAGCTAGTGGATTTGAACCATGTTCCTTTCGGATTACAGCTCAGTTTCTTAACTCTAGGCTATCAATCTGCCACTTTATTGTATGCTAACTATAAATCAGACATATCTATGAATATCATCTCAGGTAATAAAGAAGCAACATAAAACACGTGTCTTTTTAAAAAGGGGGTTATAGGTCTGACAGAGGTGAGGACCACAGGCCTTAGTCAATCTAAAGCAGAGGCAATTTCATTATACCACTTACTGATATAAGGAAACATAAAGCAATTACCCAAAGTGATGTGAAGGAATTTCTGCTAACAGGAAATTTAGAAAAGTTCTGCACTTCCTTAGAAAGGAACAGTCTAGAACACACTCTTGCTTCTAGATTTTGGAAAAGCTTGGATTATAAACTTAACTATTCAAATCATAATATGAACTCTTATAATCAGTGGTTTTGTATGGCTCACATTATGAGTAGAAAGGCAAAATTAAAGGACCTCAAACTGTGTTTAGTTGTTTGTGTTTAGTAGTTGTGTTTAGTTGTTTGGGTTGTTTTGGGGGATTTTGGGGGCTTTTTTTCATCCACTTTTTTCATCCACTGCAGAGTTAGCTCTTTCTCAGATTTGTGACACTATAAATTTCTAGGCAGTAGAATATGCTACCTCTTGGGGAGCAGTTGTCAGTCCAAACCCCAGGTCCTCAGAGATCACAAAAGCTGTAGCCGTCCAAGAAGTGATAGTATCAGGTACAGTAACTTCAAAATCTTGGAAAAGCTTGGAACTTAAGAGAAAAACAAACACATAAATTAATAATCCGTTCCAAGGCCTTTCAAAATAAGCATAAGTTAAATTATTTTTTGAAGAGTTTTCAATTTCAAAACCATTCACATATTTGAATTTTAAACCATTATTAAAACATTAGAATGAAAAGGAGATTTCAAGTTCTCAAGAACTATTTCAACATCATAGTCTAAACTATATCCCAATAAGATCTTTCTGTAATGTTTCTATCTTCAGAATGAACATTATTTTCATAAATTTATAAAAGTATTTCTTTTCAAACTGAACACTTTATTTTCTGCCTGACTTGGTAGGAAAATGTTTTCTCTGACTACTTATCAGAGCTTTTATTTGTTTGGGGTTTTTTTTGTCTGTTTTTGAGGTTTGGCTATGTCTTATTTCAAGATTCCCTAAATGGCTGAATATAATACACAGGCAGTCTACAGACTTCAATAATTCCATTCTTTAAGTAGAATTTGTATATAAATTGGAACAGTTAAGTAGAGTTTATATCAACATGATTTTATAAATGTTTCTCTTAATATACAGTGTAGCTTGCTATGTAAAAAAAATCATTAAAAAACACTTCCAGATATAGGAAAAAAACTTCCCCTACTTGTCATAAGTCTGGTTTATGTTACTTCACTTTAAAAAACAAACAAACAAAAAACACCTGTTTTTGTGAAGATTACTGTTGTTTTTGTTAGGTGCCATCAAGTGGGTAACTCATTCAGACTCAAAGGGAACCTCTGTACAACAGAACTAAACAATGATTCTCCATCCTTATAACCACTGTTATGTTTTAATCCATTGTTGCAGTCATTGTATGTAACCACCAGGTTAACGGCCCTTCTTTTTTTCACTGACGCATCTACATCATGAATCATGACCATGAATTCCCCAGGGTCAGATCCTTCTTGGTAACAAGAGGAAAGTACATAAGACATACAAACAATCACTATCCTTATTTCCATCTAGACTTCTTCCAGGACAGATGTGTTTGTTCTTCCGGCAGTCTATTGCATATTCAATATTTTTCACCAACATTATAATCAAAGGGATCAATTCTTCTTCCATCTTCCGTAATCATTGTTCAGCTTTCACATTATGGCTTGAAGCATACACACACTTTAGTACTCAAAGTAAGATCTCTGATTTTTAACAATGTCAATCTATTGCAATAGATTTGCCCAGTGCAATATGCCATTTGAGTCCCTGAGCGCTGCTTCTATGGATGTTAAGTATTGGCTGTTGATTGCAGAAATTTAAAGAGGATTTTCACTTCTGTGAAAAGAGATACCATCATTCAATGTTCGTTTTGGTTTGTTTTGAAGGAGTTGAAAAGGTAGCCCTCAACTCAGGCATCAAGAATGATACAAATACTGTATAGGACAATTATTGCAGAGCCTGTATGAGGATCCAAGGTGGGGGGCTTAAACATAGGTCACATCGTTTGATGGAGGGAGGAAGGGATTTGTAAAGGAAAGGGGAAAGGTCCAGTGTGAAAAACAATGCATATTAACTTTATAAACTTTGTATGTAAACAAGTATAAAATAATTTTTTTTTTTAAAATGAGATTGATGTTGCCAAGTTCCTTCCCAGGAACTCAAATTTTTTTTTTTATATAATAGCCTTTACTGAGTTTTATTCATAACTACAAGCTGTACATAAGTCAGGCATTTGTTGCCTGGGACTGACTGTATTGTGGACATGTCATGATTTCCATGCTCAATCACTAGGCCAAATAGCACACAGATGCTGTCAGCTAAGCTGAATTCATTCTACCACCCTTGGTACTTCTCCCTGTAGTTCCTGGGGATGTTTTACGGCATTTAGTTAGAACGCATTCAGTCAGGATTCAGCTGGAAGCATTGCCACACAGTTGGCCAGGCCCTCATTGCTCCCCAGTGAAAGAGAGGATTCCTAGCTGACCTTCCATTGGGTCTCAGGCTATAAATCCTATAGGGGTGGGGATACTTTCTCCCTCAGAGTCATGGGTGATTCTAGTCACCTGAGAGGTGTGGTCTTTGGGTTAGCAGCACAACCCCTTACAGACTATGACACCAGTGCTCCCTGTTACAAGACAGCAGGAAGGAACTGTATGTGTTTTCTACCTGGAAACAGCATATGTACTCCTAGATAGTTTTCTTTGTTAGGGGCTATAAGACTTCAATAAAAAAATTAAAATCACCTTTCATCATAAAAACTATCAGAGCCTAGGATCAGGTATGCAATTAATATGAAAATCCTCTTGATAATACTCCTATCACCACAATTTGTATGTGGTTTAATGAAATATTATATTAAAATAAGGAAGCTCTGGCTGTCTAGTGGGTAAGGAGTTGGGCATCAACCCAAAAGCAAACAGTTGAATTTCACTAGTTGCTCCAAGGGAAAAAGGTGGACAGTCTCCTCTTATGCAATTTACACTCTCTGAAAACTCACTGGAAGGTCAGCTATGAGTCAGTTCCAACTCAATAACAGAACGAGAGATGTTAAGTAAAATTAAACATGATAATCAAAACAATAGCCTCTAGGACTGCTGAGTATTTAATCGCACCAGCAGCCAGGAAATTAAAAGATGTATTGCAATAGGAAAGTCTGCTGTTAGGGACCTCTCTAAAGTACTCAAGAGCAATGGTGTCTCTCTAGAGACTAAGGTGCATCTGACACAGGCCATGGTCTTTGCAATCACTTGTTACACATCAGAGAGTTGGACAATGACTAGGAAGGATAGAAGGAAAATTGATGCCTTTGAGCTTTGATGTTGAAGAAGAATACTGAGGGTACCATGGAATGCTAAGAAAACAAACAGATTCCTCCTGGAGAGGGTTAAACAGGCTGCTCCTTGGAGGCAAGGATGCTTTGGACATGTTGTCCTTGGAGAGGGACATCATGCTTGGTAGGGTGGAGGGAGAGCACAGGAGGGGAAGGCCCTCTAGGAAGTGGACTGATTCAGTGACTGGGGTTATCAGGATGGGTGTGTCAGAGACAGTGCGATTGGCACAGGACAGAACAGAGTTTAGGACTGTTGTACATAGGGTTGCTATGAGTTGCAAGCGACTTGACGGCACATAACAACAACAACAACATACTTGTACTTGAATATTAAAAAGAGAAAAGTTTATCTCAGCAAACCCTAAGCAGAAAATTTAAAAGGAAGGCACCCTATAAATTTTTACCCCATGTTGGTGTCCAGCCAAATCCAAGTCTCTGGAAAATGCGTTCTGACATGTGGATTGTTAAACGTAGAAAAGCCTTCAAATTCCAAGCCATTTTCCTCAAAATAATTGTCAGCAATAATTCTAGAGTCATCTGAAAATAAAAAACACAACCGCTAGGAGAGGGAGAGAATCACTGAAGATGAGAAATGAGAAAGGTTGAGAACAGATTTTTAAATGGTATATAACCCATGTTACAAGTAAAAGCAGCTGAACCCACTGCCATCAAGTCTGTTCCAACCCCCATGGCCCTCTTTCAGGTGTCTGATGTGGTAAATCTTCATGGGAGGAGGCTGCCCATCTTTCACCACAGGAGCAGCTGACGGATTTGAACCGCTGACCTTGAGGTTAGCAGAACAGCATTTAACTTAAGCATCGATTACTCACTGACAGTTTTAAAATAAATTAGAAGATAAATTTATCCATTTTTATGAAAATACCTCTGACATCAGTGTGAAGATTATTTTAAAAATGGACAGAACAGTTCACAAACAGGATTCAAGCTGAATCCAGAGGAGGCCATGGAAAAAAAAAGATATCATAACTGATGTCAAGTTTGATCTTGGCTGAAAGCAGAGAACACCAGGGAGATTTGTGGTGTTTTACTAAATTGTTATTGCTGTGTCCTGTTGAGTCAGAACCGACCCATAGCTGACCCTCTAGTGGGTTTTTAGAGGCAGTTAATTGCACAGGAGTCCATTTTTCTTCTATGTAGCAACTGGTGGATTCAAACCTCATACCTTCACAAGCCCATACCACTAGCCATCAGGGCTCTCTCCCTTCTTGAACAGACTAAGGCATTTGACAGTGAAGATTATAGTAAATTATGGATAACATTGAGAAGAATGAGAATCCAGAACAATTGGCTGTGCTCATGTGAAACCTACACATAGACCAAGAAGCAAGTGCCTGAACAAAGGAATGCTGTATGGTTTAAAGTCAGCAAAGTTATGCGTCATGCTTGGATGCTTCATGCTTATTCAACCTGTAGGTACACTGAGCAAATCCCTCAAGAAGAATGTGGCATCATTGTTGGATGATTTGAATTTGACTGCTGAACTGAAACGGGAGCCTGGACTCATTAAGGAATTGTGCCTTGAGACTGCTTGGCTAAAACCTGGATTTGCACTGGGTGATATTCTCTGCATCCCCCACACTCCAACTTACTTCCCTGATAAACACTATTTGCAAGTGTACCACAAATGGAAAGGATTTTACGACTTCTTCCCACTATCACACTTCTTATTATTTCGTGTTGGCCACTCTATTTGACAATTTAGGAAATGCAGGATGAATAGAGATGATCCTGCCTAGAAAGAACTCGATGTCTCAGAACTAACAACATGTATGTTTGTGCATGTGCATGAATGTAGTTAAGCAAATACACACACACATGTGAGCATACCTTGTGGCATCTGGCTGATTATGTAGGTGAACATCAAGGAGAACACAAATGTTACTACAGCACGCTTCTCCTTTTATCTAATTCCAAAATAACAGTTTGTAATACAAAACATATTATGGCACACAAGCTCCCAATATGCCCAAAACACTAACTCCTTAGAGAATTAAAAAGAGCAAATAAACAGAAAGCATTTATTTCAAAGATTTTGATGGAAACCCTAAACAAACATTCTGATATCATGGTCAAGATTAAAACCTCAGTTTCTAAGAACATTAAATTCCAAATAATCTTAGGACAAGAGAATGAAAATCATGCTATTCATTAAGCCATAAAATACCCATTACAGACTAGGGAGCTCTGGGGATCTAGTCCATGGAGAGTTGGGCTGCTAGCCCAACAGCCACGCCTCACCAGCAGGTCAAATCCGCCCAGTGGCTCTGTCCAAGAAAGAGGAGGAATCTCCTCCTGGATAGTTTGCAGCCTCAGAAAACCCACTAAAGGCTCAGCTAGGAGTTGGTTCCAATTCAATGGCAATGAGTTTGAGAGTTTGGAGATTTGTCTGTTGGCTTGTTTGTTTATGTAAGTACTATTAAATGTATGAGATAAGAGATTTAAATATTTTGCAAACATATTGTGACATTTTACTTACAAGCAAGATCAATGTAATCCTTGTCAAGGTTTGCATCTGTCAACACCCAGAGGCCACATTCCTAGAAAGGATAATTTAACTTTATTTTTGTTTAAAATTTTGTGTTCTCTAAACTTTCATAGAGGACTCCTGTACCCCACATTCACTCTTACTCATTTTCTGAAGCTTGAGTACAGAGTACATGAAGTCAAAATCTCTCTCTTTCTCTAACATGCACACATATCCATCTGGAGATGGGGATAGGGGAGAGGGTCCTTTAAGGGAATGTAATATAAAGGAAAGAAGTTACTTGTTTAGTGACAACTCCATTAATTTTCTGGCGGTCAGTTTTTCTATTTTTAAAATGGAAAAGATTATTCTCTTTCCATTTCAAATTTTACTAATAAAGCAAACTGTCAAAAATATGTTTAGCAAAGTTTACATTTCCTTATTATTACTTATTAAATTTAAAAAAACAAACCTCTGAAACAGTAAAAGATATTAGTGTATATGTCTTTACAATATCACAAATTAAAATTACCTTGAAGACTTCAAAAGAGTTCATGAAGATGCCTACATAATACCCTGTGTTGTAAAGTTCCAGTTCACTGACCACCTTAGAAGGAGACAAAATACAGAGATGAAAGGATTTGTATCAACCTTGTTCCTTCCATGACAATTTTTTAACATCTTCACATGATATGATGTATGATTTTTTTCTATTTTTTTCTTTTATATTGGTTTGCATACAAAATGCATATTCACTGTGTGTCATTCACATGCACTGTGTTTCACACATTCTTTCATTCACATTGTTTCACACAATCATTCTCATACATTGTGTTTCATCAAATTAATCAGCATTGATTGGTGTCCACTATCATTCTATCTTTTCAGGTCTCCACTAGATCTATCCTAATTCCTTCACCTTGTCCACCAAATTCTGCATCAATTTTATACAGAATGTAGATAAGAGATAGTCCACATGCTTCTCAAATGGCACAAGTTGAGAATGAATAAGTGAGCACCTTGTTCATGAGTCAATAAGCCAAAAATTAGACTTCTTGTTTAAGAATAGAATTCATTATTCTGCCCAGCAACTTGAGATTCCTGTGAACTGTAGGTGTGACTTTTACTCAGAAAGATATTAAAGGTCTCTAGGTTGACAAGCTTTCACTGTTTTTGTTCAGACATTCCTCTAGGTTGTATAGCCCTGGTGTACAAGTTGCCGTCCCGTGGTCACTTGTGGTTGCTGTGAGGCTGAACACTGTGACAGTGATGTGTCAAATGCGTTAATGGTTGGCTACCTAGTGCGGACTGAGAGTGGGGTGGAGCTCCCCGATTAAACAAGCGTGGAAGGAGGAGTGGCACCCACTTCCATAATAGCTTGCCTCCAGAAACCCTATGAACCTGGGGAGAGGATAAAAGGCACCCAAGCGTCAAGGACTCTCCTTTATAGGGTCGCTATGAGTTGCTTGCAACTTGACGGCACTTAGCAACAACAGGTTGACAAGACCAACAAGGAGAAGCCAGCATTAAAAATCACCCACACGTCTATGCACACTCACGTTTATTGTGGCTTTGTTCCCAACAGTATAGAGCTGGAAATAATCCAAGTGTCCATCAACAAACAAATGGATAGAGAAGCTCTGGTATATTCACACTATGGAATACTATGCAGCATTGAAAAACAAGGAACTCATGAAATACTGTGCAAAATGCATGACCCTGGAGGACAGTATGCTGAGTGAAATATTTCAGTCACAAAAGGACAAATAATGCACAGGGCCACAGTTGTAAAATGGGACTGACACCAGGGTTGAGGGAAGACAGAAAAGAAGAGGAGGATGATATTTATTCTATTGCAAAAGATGAGGGAGAGAACTGTTTAAAAGGGACATATGAATGGGTATTCTTGTCATTACAGAAGTCCAGAGTGAAGGCTGCATAGTGGAGTGGACTTGGGGGGAGGAATTACATAACAATGAAAGATTTTTTCTTTTCAAGGAGAAGGGTGAAAGGGGAGAAGGAGTGGGGAGGAAGAAAAGTGCAACAATGAATGATTGGAAACCCTAAGTCTCTGTAAACTTTCCTTAAAATTTAAAAAAATTCAGCTAAAAAAAGGTTTAAAAAAATCACCCACACTTCTAGTAGAAATAAACAGGCAAATGACATAAACTTTGATGGAACATCTGCTAAATGCCAATATCAAAATAAAAATTTGTAAAGAGAGCAGACAATTCACAAAACAGAAAATGAAATTTAATAAATATTAAAAAAATCAACTCAGTGATAATCAAAAGCAGAGCAAAGTATAGTATCATGGGATAGAATTTTTAATGAGGGGATTAATCTATCATAACAGCAATGTGATTTTTTAAAAGCCCTCACTGCTTTCATGAGTACGTAATATTTCTTTCATACATTACTGAGGCAAGTCCAGCTTAAAGAAAAACAAGATTCATACCACTCAGTAAAAAAAAAAAGTGTTATAAGTTGCAGACTTCCACACAAGATAAAGAAAATGCAAACTCAATGTCGCTGAGTGAAATCGACTCATAGATCATTTTCAGAGGTTGAAAATCACATGGGAGGAAACTGCCCATCTTTCTCCCATGGAACAGCTGGTAGATTCTAACCATCTGCCTTTGGGTTGGCAGCACAACTTCCTATCCACCAAACCACCTTAACTCAATATATAGAAGAACATTCAAAACTATTTAAACAGCAGCATTAACTAGATCGAGTCTGACAAACTCAGGATTAAAAAAAAAAAGATTCTGAGTACACATTGTGGAAGGACAGACAAATTCTCCCATAAAATACAACCAGCAACCTCTGTTACTGCTACACCAACAGCACTGCTTCGTCCACAGTATGCAAACAGAATACTGGAACCAGTACCAGTAAGAAGAAAACAGGAGATGGAGAAAATTTTACAATGTTCTCAATAAGCTGGCAAATACAATGAGCTCAGCTATAGATGATAAAGCCAGGACCAGGCATGCTGAGAAGAAAATATTTTCCTTCCAAACTCTATAACAATAAATAAATACATGTAAGAGAAGTTTCTGCTTTCACTCAAGTGTTAATGGATGAAAGCATCTATATCAATAAGAACTCTTCTTTTTATGTTGTTGTTGTTGATCGCTGTCAAGTCGAGCATGACTCATAGTGATGCTCTGAATAAAAGACATGAAGCCTTTCTATAACTATTATCATTTCTCAAAGTTCATAGAGTTTCCAGAGGCATGTGGTTTAGGAAGTGGATGCCATTCTTGCCTCCTTTTATAGTGGTTCCATTTAAACAAAAGACACTGACTAAGCATCAGTACAAGCTAATGACAGGAAGACTGCTGTCTGAAAATTATTTCAGGAAGTCCTAGTACATTTAAATTATTCCATGGAATTCATGAGCCACTAAGCTGTACATACAAATTTAACAAGAAGCCAAGATGGTCTAGCATTACAGACTCTTAACTCCTTCCTCTGAAACCAATTTTGGAGAAACAATAAAAGTAAGCAGGAAACTTGGAAGAATAAGATGAGAAAACCATGGAAAGAATGAAGGCTATCTTGAACTGGAAGGTTGGAAGGGAGTGGATGACTTCAGCCCAGGCAAAAGGCATCTAGAAATAGCAGACAGACTGGGGAAAGTAAAAGTCTTTAAATTCCTCTTGCTCTTCTCTCCAGGGGAAGAGAGACTTAAGGACAATCAATCCTAGAAACTTCACACTCAAAATGAACACGACCAGCAGCAGTTGCTACTCAGACACTTGTGAACATGTGAAGGACCCCCTAACCGTTGGTCCTGTTCTTTCCTGAGTGGACGGCGAAGACCCAAGACTCCAAGACACCGGCTTGATGCAACAGCAAGAGATAAGAGGTTTATTGCGGAGCTCCGGGCCGACCCT